TTGCGTATTTACTAAGACGTTTTGTATATTTGTAGTGATATAGCCTCTACAGTTACGACGGTTAATGTGCCCGTGATTCAACTCACCTGCCGCCTCACATATAGTAGGTCTTAACTTTGTAGATTTCCTATAAATATCCCAAATCTTGCTAAAAATGTAAAACCTGTTTTGTAAGGGGTCTAATTAACTCCACTTGGCTACTGGACCAATAAATTTCTAACACCCAGATGGCACTTACGCTTTTCAAAGTGACCATTAGCGCATGGCAAGCCTAAATTTGGTGTTTGGATAACCTGAGTTTTGTTTCCTAAAATATTTTTGCCGTGATAATGGCCTACCGTTTAACGGTCTTTACATAAACAATCAGGTTAGGACTTTCAGAATGCGCAGTCTTTAATAACTCTGGTCAATGCAGAAGTTCAGTATTTTGAATAATCATTTCAAGGTCATTACTGCTTAATTTGATTTAGTCTGTGCTGGGTACAAACACGCCGTTTTGGAGTAATTTGGGTTTTCGACGTTAACATACAGAGTCTTGGGCCTGTAAACTATCTGTGTCGTATTTTGCGACGCGGCCTTCCTTCTCCTTTGGAAAATTTGGAACTTTTTAATCGCTGAGTGTAAACCTCGCTACTATATAAGCTGTACACATTGCTACGAATCTTCTCACTTCGGTCGGGATCCTGACCTCAAGCTACTCATAACTTCGTACGTGCTTCTGAGCTTGGCGAATTTCGACCTCCTGTTGCCTAAATGGAATCAACAAGGTCTTTTGAAAAGTCCTCACGGAAATCGGCTTCATTGACGAAAGCCGTGCCATTTTATTGTAAACGTACAAAGTATTGCATCGCATTATTAATTGATTGTATGCTTATAGTACTGTTATATATGCAGCTGACAAAATACTTTTTGTTTGCGATTGCTCGGATAACTCCATCCGCATGCAACTTTCCGGCCACACCGATTCTATTACTGAAATTGTTGGACAGAAAAATCAGGTTTGCTATCTTGTCTTTTTTAAATGTTAGATTATGTCAACCGGACTTGATGGAAAAGTTATAGTTTGGGACATTGAATCGGGGAAGATGATATCTGTATTTTCGTACAAATTCTAATGACTTTTAGAAAGTTGATTTGCACATGCCAGCATTATCACTCGGAACGAATGTAACAAATAATGTTGTATTACACGAGCACAACAAAGAAGGTATGCGATTTTTTTCTCAAGTTACCTGTAGAATCGGTTTTTATTTACGACAAGGGCTTCGAAATAAAGCGACAAATATTCGAGAAGTTTCCAGCGGTCAACAAAATGATTGCATTGAATGTAACTTTGTGATTACTCTTCATTACCTTTAAGGATCATTTTGTTGTTTCGATATGTGGCGATAATCTTCACGTTTACTGGCTCAAAACTAAAAAGACCGTTCGGTATGTTAACTGTCGGCAACCATCATGTATAATTTTTGTTGGTTTCTTTTATTATATTCTAAGCTGTCCCTCAGATCTGAAGTGATTTATACACGAATTTTAGTTATGAGCTTCCGGCGAAGGTACCTCAAGCTAATAAGAAACGATTTACCTGTGTCGCCTGTCACCCGAAGGATGCGGTTATTGCGACCGGCAATGTTCTTGGCGAAGTTATGGTGTGGTGGAATTTCACAGTGCCTGTTGAGTCAGAGGACAGTACTACTTTGGAGGAAGACGATGATGATATAGCCTCGGAAACTCTTATGGAATCGTCAGGTCAAATTGAGGAATTCAAGCTAGTCAATCCAAAACGCGTCAAGCGTTCGGTCATGCACTGGCATTCAAGAGAAGTGACTGCTCTTGCTTTTACTGCTGAAGGTAACCTTGCTACTCTTTTATTAATAGACGTCGAAGCGGAATTCGGTGCTTGTATTAACTTTTTTCGTTTTCCCCTACTAGGCAAGCATTTATTCAGTGGTGGTCTGGAAGGAGTACTCGTCAAGTGGGATCTCACAGAATGCTTTGGAGGTGTTCGTCAGCGTCGGTTTTTCCCTCTCCTTGCGTCACCCATCATTAGGATCAGCAGTCCGGGAGGAGAGTCTGAAGAGACTGTTATTGTGACCTTAGAGAAGAACTGTAAGCGTTCATAGGAAACTCTCTTTTGAATACTCTTTTCCAATATTCCATGTCTCAACTTCGAGTGGTTTGCAGACAAACTCAACATTCGTTTGGGAATTATAAGTGTCTATCGCCATCTCGTTGAAGGGCTTACTATACCGGTATTCACTTTTCTACAGCATTTTTAGTACTCAATGGTGCGCTCCAAGCCCTTTTTAAAAAAGACGGACTTTGCCAGACACCGCGGCGTTGGGCTCCTCATCTGCGGAAACCGTCGATGGAAGTACTGCCTCTGTCTTGTCTAAATAAGGCTGATGATGCGTCCATTCACCCAGAAGTACTTGTCAACGGTTCAATGGGCGAACTGCAAGTCTTGGACTGTGCAATCGGAATAGTCACTGATAAGGTAGGCACTACTAAAGTTGTTTAGCAATCTGATGTTTATACTATCGCAAAACCCTTTTTATTCTTAAGCGCGTAGTGTTGACTGAGTACGGCGGGCCATTATAGGCTCAGACCTCAGTCAAAAGTAGTTTGTATAAATGTTGCTCTGTCTTTCGAACGGTAAATACACATCACTGTCAAATCATGGTTTTTAGTAGTTATCTGTCGATATGTGTAACCTATTCGACTGACACGACGGTTATCGTACTCTAAATGCACGCAGTTTTTATATTGTTCCTTGAGCTGGCATAGGTATATTCATTACCAGCGATTGCATATTTTTGGACAGTCATACTTTTCTATGGGTCCGCTTGTCCTCTATGAACTCACTTCCGCATGTCTTGCTAGAGTTGATGTATTTACTGTCCACTGTACATAAGTGTCGCCTGGCGTT